AGTAGTAGAACTAGGGGAGCTAGAACTAGAGCTAGCAGAACTAGAGCTACTAGAACTAGAGCTAGAACTACTAGAACTAGAGCTAGAACTTGAACTTGAACGCAAGCTAGAACTAGTAGAGCTAGAACTAGAGCTAGAATTAGAGGTAGAACTAGAGCTAGAACTAGAGCTAGAACTAGAGCTAGAAGTACAGCCGCTACTTGAGCTACTAGTACACAGTACACTATATTTTTATGATTTTTTCGATATAAGGGGGGGACAAGTAGTAAGGAACACGCAACAAAGAACAAAGAACAAGGATCGACGTCGACGATTAAGAAGCAACAACAGGAGCAAGGGTGACCCCCAGCTGCTTCATGGGGAGCCATGGCTCTAAGAATGAATGAAACGCGCTTGGAAGGGCCTCCATAYACTGCATAMATTCTTCTYACAGCCACTTCAGAAGAACAACCAGCTCTGATGAGTCTTTCCATGCACTTCCAGAACTTCAATCGCCTGCAGAACTTGCTCTTTACACGACCTCGCTCAGCAGCAGTGAACTCCTTGGCAGCCTTATTCAGACCAACACCCACTTCCCATTCATTCCAGAGGACATAAAGATCATTAGGACACTTGCAAAGCTCAGCTACTCCGTCCTCAGTTCCTGCACCACCAGCTTCCGACGCACCACTGTTTACAGCTCGGACGCGACCACGTCTTCTTGCTACGGGGGCCATTGCAGCTCTTTGGGACAGCTCAATCGCTCGATTGAGCTTCTGGTTGAACTTAGCTTCACTTGCAATCTGCCTATTCTTTATATCATTCACTTGATTTGCTGTDGCAAAAAGCTTTGAGAACATKGCATGGTTCCACTGCAACTGAGTCCTACGAATCCCAACAGCAGTCCCTCCAGCAGCTCCAGGGGCTCCGCCCCCTCCGCCACCAGGGCCACGATCAAGCAGATCGTCTGGATCAGCAAGCTCATCGAAGTGAACTTGCCCACTGAATTCATTAGCAGTCAGCTCAACTTTCTTGATTGGATTCACATCAGCGTCCAATCTTTGAGGACCATGACTGTGATTGAGTTGAACCCAAGAACCGACAACATCCTGCTTTACATCCTCAGGAATCAAGCCGGATGCTTGCATTGCCGGATCACAGCAAGCCCAAAGCAACGCTTTRCCAAGGATTGCAGCCACTTGATTTCCAAATACATTAGCAATATTGGGAGYGACTGAAGCAGCAAGCCACTCATCAGTGACTCCGGTTCCTTGCAAAGGCTTGTAGTAACAGATTCCTCCAAAGCAAAGCTTCGATGMAACGTTAATATCAGGCCATGCAAGCTGTGTGTCRGTATAKCRATCCTGTTGCCTTCTAGACTTCCATCKWGCTCTATAATCMACMTCATCCCTTGWGCAACCRCACTGCCKTGCATAYGTKGTRSCRWACTTCCGAATSGARTGAGTACCAAGCTTYCCTTCKGATRGTGGTCTTTCAKSRAKAAAGACAGGATTCTTRAATGCATRGCGCTTGATGAAATTAGAGTATGCAGYCTTCCCCTTATTMACCTCTTTTGCAAYATCCTTTTGTGGYGATCTRCTATCTGTAGTTCCTTCAGTGAATAACCATTGGCTTGCTGCTCCACCACCATCTTTGCACCACTTCTCAAGATACAAYGCAAGACCAAGTACTACACACGMYCKATGGTCCATCGATCCTAACAAGATCTGTTTGGGACAGTCCCTCTCTTCTCTCACATTCTTAGACCACTTCATCTTTGCTGTAAGAAACTTGGGAAACTCAGTAGACCTTTCCAAGCTGTCCTTTCCAACATGTGCTGTATCATCATTYCGACCAATCAGRTGGAACTGAAACTTAATCATTGCAAGATATCGGAGCCGTTTGATGAGATGGCCGTGGTTCCCCATTAGTTCAATTGTCTGCAAGAACTCATCCTTTGTAAGAGGTCGATCCATCTTGCTTGCTTGTCCAAGTCCTCTAGTTTCCTTCTTGATAACAGCTGCAATAAGATCATTAACTTGCTGGGACTTAGTAGGATTTCCACTGCCAACGCCAGCAACAACAGTCCATTTGTGCAGCTTGTTTGGCATGAAATACGATAAGGCTTTCTTGTAATAAACAAGGGTCGAACTCCTTCCCTCAGTAGGATTATCATCCACTCCAGGATCCTCCCTCCCAAAGACTTTCTTTGCAAAAAACTTGTAAATATGATCCGGTGTTAGAATACTCAACTGCTCTTCAGTGAAWACGGTATCATTTGGAAATCGATTATCATTGTCGCCTCCTTCATCCAGTCTTCCATGTACATGATCCATTAGCTCCAATAGAATCTTATGGTATCTATCCCATTGCTCTGGCTGGTTCACGTCTCGTGGAGGCGTTACAGTGGCCCCCCTGCGTTTATGGGATTGCTGACTACTACGCCTGTTGCGTTCTTCTTGTTCTTGCGCTTGTGCGGTTACCATTAGTACTAGTAGGTAGTAGTAGTACTACTAGTAATGCGGCTGCTGCTGTTTTGGGGTTTTGCTTGAACCGGTAGTACTCGTAGTATGCCGCGATACTCGTATGCGATACTCGTATCATATGCGATACTCATATGCGAGTGTTGCTGTGCTGTTATTTTGTGAGCAAAAAATGCACCTCTCGTGAGTCAGGGGGCTG